TATATATATATATGCATTTACATCTATGCCTATATACCTACATACATACCTACATATATACATAAAGTCATACATACATATATATTTACACACATATACACTTACATATATATATTATATAACAATTTTAAACTTCTCACTAAGTGAATAATGAAAAAAGGCAACAAAGTTCTTTACTACAAATACCATAATGAGCACTAAAAAAAGTTAATTAGATGAATTCATAAAAAAAGTTTCCAATTCTATGATTTTGTACAGACAGTTTTGTCTGTATATCATACCAATATTTTGTAACATACAAGAAATTATAATTACCATTAGCACTGGAAATTTAAAATAACTGTACAATTTTAAAAAATACCAATGCTATAATTGATAACCCTATTTCTTATAAATTTCCAGGAGAAAGTTATTGGGATTTGTCAGATGCGTACATATGCTAATAATAATAAGCCTTACAGTGATTTTGCAATAGCTGTCTATGGATTTAAAACAGACAGGGAAATGTAAAAGAACACAACTCTTTATACTAAATACCTAAAATATCTAAAAGCAATTTTATGATAGGTTTAGGAGGCAGTGAACATTTTTACACCATTGTATATTACTTATAGCCTCAACACCTTAAAAGATCCCTTTTTACCTTTAATCCAGTTGCACTGGATACATGCACTGTTCACTGTAGGTTGGTTTAATCAAATTTCTTTACACACTGATAGCTTTACAAAAGTTTAGTTCTCCATGTGTAGTGCACAAGAATAATACTGTAATAATAACAGCTTTTCTTTCTTAAAATACAATGAATGGAATGAACAAGTCAAATTGGGTAGGCCTAGGCCTTGGTGATTAAGTTGTTCTGGTGCTATCAATGCATCAATAAAATGAATAACACCAATTCCCTGTTGACAGTGCATGTATACAGGGTCAAGTATGGCCCACCGTGCATTTTCAACTTCCACGGTACTTTCATCAATCCTCTGCTTGACTTTCCTGTGAAGCAAAAATATCAGGCTCAAGATAAACAATCTGGTCAGAATTTGATGGAGTGCAACACATCAAAGGGTCATTGTTCTGCTGCTTGAAGTCTTCTAGATCATGAGCACTGCACAGTGGTGTTGAGATCTGTAAAACAGCAAAAAGAATCCATGCATCAACAGCAGCATATAAACACACTGTGTATATCAATCATCATCAAACTCTTACTTTTACTATTAAAAATGATAATCATGATTCTGAAAACAGTAATGCTGACAATAATATAAAACAGTAATGCTGACAATAATAATATAAAACAGTAATGGTGATGGGAATATCAGTATTCCATTGACAATGGTTGAAAAATAACTACCCAGTCATATATGGTAAAACTAGATATACGTATTTATGAACTATAATGTATTACAAGAAAATTCAGTTTTCTATAAGACAGAACGGCAAAAAGTCACTTGAATGCAATTAACTTGTTTAGTGTTTTAATGATTACAACATACCTCTCTTGTCTTATTGAATTCTCTAAAGTCTATTACATAGTTATCTGATGATTTATCAAAGAAGATTAGATTCTCAAACCGATGTCCCCAAAGTATGTCTGAGGGCTGGTATGAATATCGTGCCTGCATTGTGGTTCCAGTAGATTCTGTTGTCCCTTCAAGGTATACAACTAATTCAAATCTGAAAAACATTCGCAACACATATAAATCATACTTGAGACTTGAATTATTAATTCTCAAAAGTACAGTAAAATTTGGATTTTCCTTGTATTGCAAAGTTATGCTTCAAAGAAACAGAAAAAAAGGAGCAATGGTTTTCTCTTTCCACTGAAATTGGTTAATTCAGCCATGTTCCTTAGAGCTTTATAAGATATAAGAAAACCTACTTCTCACTCATGAGATCCATAGCAGACATATTGTAGAAAGGGGAGTTTTCATCAACTGTGTGAACGATGGTCATGGGCCAGATGAAGAAAAGGTTTTCAGAGCCATCGTCACTGCCCACCTTTACATCATATTGGTGGTATGGAATCAATTCTCCTTCTTGAGTTGTGCGTTTCCGGATAACCTGATATCAAATTTGAATGTGCATTAAGTGTCTTAGGATACTGTCTTATCATAACTTTGATACTATTTGATACATAATATATATTTCTCTATTTTCCTATTATACATACATATATATATATATATATATATATATATATATATA